TTGAGGTGGCTTATCAACTGTTGGCTGTTAACTGAGAATTAAGGTTGCCTTGGCTGAGTGGCCATGGTATGATTTGTTGCAATTCTCGAGCACAGAAAAGGTCTCTCTCGTTTGGTCGATGCCCGTGGCAGAAGTACGTCGGGAAATGAACGATCCACGCGAACTGGGAATGAACAGTCCATGGGACAAGGCGGGAAGCTCAGAGATTGTTTTCGCATCCAAGTCGTTGACAACTCGGTTGTCCCGAGGCAGTTAAACCTCCAAAAACACAGCCACGCTCGCATACGTTCGATAGTTCGATGGTGTGGTGTTCGACCCTTGGACCTGCATTGCGCAACCCACTACTCGTTGACGCTCCTCTTTGCGTGTTTCTTCCAGTGCTCTATCGAGGCGAGAGCAAACCACAAGCGAGTGTCTCGTAGTATCCGTGAACGTTGAGGAGCCCCTCCCTGCTGCAAGAGTTTAGCGCGACCTGCGTGTGTTACGACCTATCTTTCTGTGAGAGTTTTGTACTCCTCGGGACAGAATGTGGCGAGGGCCAACGACTAGAGTGCACAGATACGACTAGAGTGCACAGTACAATCTTGAACAATCGCAGACGACCAAATGGGACATGACTAACGAGAATACCAAAGGATGTATTATGCTCTAGATAAAACGAGCACGCAGAGTTTAGGAGCACTGTACACTGACGGATGTGATAATTGACCGTCAAGGTCAACTACAGTAACACTACAACGACTCCCTTTCAACCAGTGCCCCAGTACAAGTACTGGCCTGCAGATTGCTGTGCCGTTTGGAGTGTCTTCCAGACGTGCGAGCATACATTATGTTATAAACTCAACGAAGCCACTAGGGTTAACCTCGTGTTTTCTTAGGCAGATTTTGGTCGAGCTCTTTGGTTGAGGTTTTGCATTGGGGTAGCGTGCAATCTAGCGGTGGGATCGTGTGACGTAGTTTGGACTCGTCGGTGGACGGGATCATGTGCATTGAAGTTCAACGTACCCTGCCCCAAACCTCGGGTTTTCTTGGGGCTGGGTGTGGTTGGCCTTTGTGGTTGAGGTGGGGCATAGGGCCGGTGGACCATCTATAGCGGTCTTTCTGCGCAATGGTTTGATTCGTGTAGAAGGTTTGTGCAGGGTGCTGTCGCGCTTTTTGATTCCAGACAAGAAGACGGTCTAGTGCGTACATGTTGGCGCCGTATTCTTATAATCTGCATGCGAATATTGCTGTAGTCTACGAGGATGGTTGTGGCTTGTCGCTCGCCCTGGCTAATATGGTCGCTCACTAGTCCTTGGAGAGTTGGGCTCCGATACATTTCTATCATAGTACTTCATGCCCCGAGACGTCGTCGACCCCGCAACGCACGCCCAGCAACGGCATCATCCTCGAGACGCTGGAGCCAAGGACGAGATGCTGGGCGACAGCATCTCGGATGACAGCTTGAGCGGTCTTTTGCTCTTTTTGCTTCCATTTTCGATTCGCGAGAAGACGGTCAATCAGCACAAAGGGAATCGATTGAAATCCTCTCGCGAGCGCTGCTCAAAACACAACCTCACAGACGATGGAAGCGCAGCATACTGGTGCTAGTCGGTGACCGCAACGCACAGCCCATACCGGCCACAAGCCTTTTCCAATGCATCGCCACCAAAAAGTGTGGTCTTACCCGGACTTGAACCGGGGACCTTCTCCACGTCAAGGAGACGTGATAACCGCTACACTATAAGACCACTCATGTATTGGCTCTATATTGTAAAAGGCCAATAACTGTGGATGCCCTTTGTGCGTCGATGCTCTGCCAAAAGGAAATGATTGAAGATCGTCGGGACGTTGCCGAGACCATCAAAAAGACAAAAAGAAGTCACGAGACACAAGGAGCCCGTGCTACACGGTAGCTCCGTCATACCGTCCAGCTCCACAGCTTACAAATGTGGTGGTGTAGTCTGCACATCGACGACCACTTCATGACACGTATTCGAGTAAAAATCGCAAAGCCATCCCCATGACCTGAAAGAGGACTAGTACGAGTAGTGACGGGGCAAAGCTGGTCAAGGCGACCAAACGCGAGGACCATGGATGCTAGCTGCGTTCTTGGCGGACAACAAGGTGATCTGGGTCCAGGGCAACGACAGTGGCTTCATCGTGACGCTTGGCCATGACAAGGAGTGCGTGCGTACTAGGGTTGTTGGTCACGTATTGGTCTTTTGCCAAAGCGAAGCCAGTACGGCGCGGATCTCGTACCGGCTTCGCTCATGCTCAGTGGCTGCTGTGTACTCTGCACGCCGGGCTAGAGTAAGCGCATGGCACCAATACGGCGCCAACTCGGACAGCGGTTCCACTCCGACAGCGCATCATGAACGCCGC